TCCAGTTGATCATAATATTCTTTTAGAAAGACTTGAATATTTTGTTGGAATTAAAGGAACAGCTCTAGACTGGTTTAAATCTGATCTATCTGATTGATTTTAGTTTGTTCATGTTACTGACAGATCTTCCTCATGCTCAAAGGTTACCTGTGGCAGAGAGCCTTCTCCCCCTGGTGTGGAACAGCTTTCACTCCTAGAGTGCTGTTTAGTTCAAGTTGGCTCTTGATGTCCTCAGAACCTCTCTGTCACAAGACTTGAAAGCTGAGTTCTGTGCTTTTAGCGATTTCTGAACCTCCCTATTCCTCCAGGACTGTACTCATACTCGTCTATATTTATATTTATCTTGTTGTCATCGGTTGCTGCATCTTTGAAAATGTTCCAGTCAGAGCATTCAAAGCAGCCCTGGAGTTTCTCCATGGCACCTTCGTACCAAACTCTGACCTCCTTAACTGTTGGTTTAGCCCTGTTTGGCTGGGGCCTGTATTCAGGAATTAGCATGAAAGAAAGGAATCTGATGACCCAAAGTGGGGGAGGGGGGCTGCTCTGAATGCATCTTTGATGTTAGAGTAAAACAGTTCTAAAATGTTTTGACCCCTATTTTCAAAGTCCCAATGTTGGTAGAAATGAGTGGAGTAAACCAAACATTACCGCCACATATCTGACTCCATAACCATTAAAACAACTATTTTAATTCATTTCAGATGGAACTATTTACAGAGTTGTATTCGATTGAACTGCACTTCCAATATTCACCACTCTTGGTGCTATTTCCCTTTTTCCTCTGATCACTGAGCAGCCGGTTGGACTCCAAATGAATCATAGAATACCCAAGACTATGGAGGATACAGCGGACCTGTCCTTCAAAATGAAGCTGTTTCCAGCAGAGTGATTCCAGGCTAAGATCACCTGCTTCCTATCAGCTGATTACTGCATTCATTGTTCTGTTTGGCATTTATACTCCTCCTCTGCAGTTATTGGTTTCTGGATTCTCTTCATTCTCTCCTTAACCCATTGGTTTCCCTTTCTTCCCGTTCCTGTTTTCCTTAATTAGTTATTTCTGGATTTATGTTTCTATTGCCACCACTTCTTATTAAATCTGCTAGAAACCGCCTCAGCTTCCGCCTCTGCATTTCGTTGCTCTTCAAACCTCCACACAACCTGACAATCAAATTATTTTACCCATTTGGATCCTTTTGGCTTGCCATACCTGCCTAGGTTACAATGGTTCCTATATCAGGCTTCTGCTTTGTTGATGTTAGATTGAAGTTCAGGACCTTCCTTCTCACCTCCTGCCCAGACGGAGCATTTAGCAAAATAACAAATCCATCCATCAATCCATAATGCTATATTCCTGCTGGGGTGGTGAGGCGTGCTGGTGTCTATCTCCAGCTGTCTTCGTGTGAGAGGCGGGGTCCACCCTGGACAGGTCTCCAGTCCATCACAGCACAACACAGAGACAACCACTCACACCTAAGGAGAATTTAGAGGAGCCAGTTAACTTAACAGCCATGTTTTTGGACTGTGGGAGGAAGCCGGAGTACCCAGAGAGAATCCACGCTTGCTCAGGGAGAACATGTGAACTTCATGCAGAAAGACCCCAGGCCGGGAATCGAACCCAGAGTCTTCTTGCCGCAATGCAGCAGTGCTACCCACTGCTTCACTGAGCAGCCCTAAACTGGACTGAATGTTAAACTGAGTGAAATAAACCCAGGTTAACTGAACTATGTCTCTACCTCCTTTTTTTTCAGCTCTGTTCGGCGTGGAAATCAATGTGACTGAAAACATGTTAACTGGTTCTAGAGGAAATGTTTCTGCTGAGGAACGTTGCCTCCAGTCTGGGCTCCAGGTCTGTGACGAAGACAGCAGGTGTCCTCTGCAGGTACTGGTCCTAACCCATAGGGTCCAGTCTGTTAGTCAGCAGCCTGTTCTGGTAAATTGCTTCTGATTCTTCTATACTGACACATACTGTTGGTTTGCAAAGCTGTCATACCTAGATAATCAAGTTAGCTCTGTTGTTAGATCACGTTTTTATCACCTGCGGATTTTAGCAAAACTTAAATCTTATTTTTGTTTTAAGGACTTTGAAGGACTTATCCATGCTTTCATTACATCCCGGTTGGATTATTGCAATTCATTATATAGAGGCATGAATAAATCACAGATGCAGCGACTTCAATTGATCCAGAACGCAGCGGCTCGGCTTCTTACAGGAACCAGGAAGCATGACCATATAAGGCCTAATGGCCTCTTTACATTGGCTGCCTGTCTTTTACCGAATAGATTTTAAGATTCTTTTATTAACTTATAAGGTCTTAAATGGATTAGCTCCTCCTTATCTTAGAGACCTTTTAAAATTCCAGTCTGTGTGGAGAAGTCTACGTTCAAATAATCAACTATTACTGACGGTTCCTCTGACTCGACTTAAGAGGAGAGGAAATCAGGCTTTCTCTGTTGTTGCTCCAATTCTGTGGAACAATTTGCCTCTTCAAATTAAATCCGCCCACAGCCTGGATAATTTTAAATCGCTTCTTAAAACTTATTATTATTCTTTGGCTTTTAATTGAGGCAGTTTTTCACATTCTGTTTTGTTAATTGGCGTTGTTGTCTTTCCTGTAAAGCACTTTGGTGCAGTTTTATACCTGTTTTTAATGTGTTATATAAATAAATGTGACATTGATATTGAAATAATACCTACTTACTTACACCTCTTTCCAAAAAAAAAAAAACCTTAATGACCTTTGGACCAGTTTTATGCACTTTCTGTTCGGTTCTGCAGCACATCACTTGTTAAAGTGAATAAAACTGACAGATTAATGACAAACTAAAATAAATTGGTCAAAGCCACCTGCTGGAGATAGTTTGCATGTTTTTGCTAACTCCATCAGTGTGACATGCATCCCCTTCAGCACGTTGGCAGGTTTGATGTTTCCATGCAAACACATCCTTGAGGAAAATACTATATTATCAAATGATTTGCTGCCAAAAAACATAAAACCAAACCACAATATGATCACTCTAATGTAGCTTAAAGCAAAGAAGCATCTATGTCCCCAACTGATTTGCTATGTGAAGTACAGATGTAGCAATAAGACTTCCTGATGGTGTGAAACATGAAGAACCAGTGGATCTTAATCAGCACACAATCATGCCCTGGAGACAGGCTTTAGTTTCACATATTCTGAGGTTTTTCTACCATAAATATCTGCAAACTACAGAAATGTCTTTACTGTAAGCATGAGAAGTTTTTTGTTTCAGCCGAGGAGTTTCCCACTAGAACCACTAGAACAGCAACAGGTTGCTGTTCTAGTGGGAAACTTGTTTTCTCCTTTAGTCTCTTCTGAAGGCATGTTTCCACTACAGGACCCAAACAGGGCTGAGTGAAAAACTGCTGCTCCCACTGCAAATAGATGTCAGTCATCTGCAATCTGTTCAGGTTTACAGGCAGACAGAGATAATATCAAACAGACTCCAGGAAAAGGTTCCTGTGGTGAAGCTCTTTGTTCTTTGTCATATTTCTTAGGACTCGGGAGTCAAGAGGTGTTTTACCGAGCTGTCAGCCAGAAGCCAACCAGAAAAGCAAAACTACCTTTCAGGCTTTAGTCGATGTCATCATCAAGATGGAAAGAAAACCAAGGGAGGACATCATGGTAACTACATCCACCAAGGAACGACAGATGGGAAAAATGTTAACTTCAGGCAAACCTGGCAGAAGAGACCCCATGATGAGCACAGCTACAGTCCCAGCTCAACAGCCTATTGGGGGCTTTGTCCACATGATGACGACCAGAGAGACTCCCACAGCAGACTGTGTGAGATGAGAAGCTGCGGCTGCATCTTCAAAGATGGACCTGCTATTCCCCACAGAAGCAGACGCGATGGGACAGTCTGTCGGACAGAGTTGTGCCACAACACAGCGGGATTTCTTCCTTCTGTTGACAAAAGCAAGTTTTACTGCTACTACACATCAAGCATCCGACCAGAGAGCGGCTGCAACCGTTGGACTGCTCTGTACAGTGACCCCGCCCACTGCAGCAGGCTGCCCTCCCCTCTGTGCGCCGAAGACCAGCCTTACACCATCCTCCACTCCGCAGAGAGCTCTGAGCCAATCACAGCCATCTTCATGGGTTTCCACACAGCTCAGGATGATAGCGGGCAGCTTCAGGAGTGTGAGGGAACCCTAAAGGCGGAACTGGTCAAAATTGAAGACCATAGTGAAGAGGGGAAGAAGGTTAACCAGGTTTCAGAAAGATGCCCATCAAAAAGAAACCAGGGAGGGCGTTGGTCAGAGAAGAAGGTGGAGCCAGGTGTCAGAAACCTTAAAGAAAAACAGAAGCTCTGCTGTACGGTGGCCTGACTGCGTGGCTCTGATTTAACTCTCAGTTGCTTCATTCTAATGAGTCACATGGTGCCATGAGCCTCTTTGCTCATGACATTATTTTATGGTTAGACACATTGTTCTACAAACCCAAGGGAGGCTTGAATGAATGTTTTATCACCATGTCTACCAAACCTGATGGGTCCAGCACACAAAGGGAGGATGCTTCCAGTTAAAACAGCCAGTCCCTAAAATGAACATCATGCAACTTGATCAAAGATCTGTTTTTCACTGGAACACGAAGAATCAGAGACAGAGAAAAAAAAATGTTTTCATTGTGCCACAAAGTTTAAATGTGGAAAACTGCAGTGCTGCCAAAACTTCATCACAATATGATGGAAAACTCACATTTTGGTTTAGTTTATTTCATACAGTTAAATCAACAGACAGGACAAGGGAGAAAGACAGAAAACACAAAAGACATGAACTCAAGATGGATAATAATAAATAATTCTACTGCTTATCTGTTGATAAACATACTTCATCCTACCAACATTTACATTTTTACATCTTTTCATATGTTTAGTTTTCTAATTCTATCGTTCGTGTAGAAATAAAACTATCGTTGTAGATTTTCTTTTTGTCATCTTCTGCCCTTTGTGGGCTTTTTGGTTCTGTTTAAGTTTCTAATTGAGTTTTCGGTTAAACTTTGATTTAAGTCATTCTAGGTCATTTTTTTATTTTAATTTAGTGTCATTCTAGTTGTTTTCTAGTTCTATTTGGGTTTGTATGTATTTCTTGTTTACTTTCTGCTGCCTCTTTGTACTAGTCTACTTTCCCCTAGCTCCAAGTGTAAGTATGAGTATAGCCTATATGGCTATATATAATTAATGTGATCTTAACAGATCACAAAAACTCTGCGATCAAATCACCCTCTTCACTAGAGATGGTGAGATGAAGCCTCATGAGGCATTGAACCGTTTGGCCAAATTGCTTTAACGATCCCCACAGGTTATGAGACTTCATGTGAACATGTCACCACCTACTGGTTGAGTGCGGAAGTACGGTTAGTAACAATCTGATTTTTTTTGCAATTGATTTTCTTGTTTTTTTTTCGCCCATTTAGGTTCCTTTTGAAATTGTCAATGATTGGTGGTATAATAAAATCTTTTTAAAAGTTTTTTTATGTGTGTGTTATTGTGTCAGAAGAGAAAAATCATTTTAGGAACACAGTTTTTCTGCCATTTTGGTGAAATAACCTCAAGCAAATAGTCAAAGTGTTTGTGCAAATTGGGAAATGATGAGCAAAATGAAAGGAGTTAATCATTTCTCTTCAAACATTATAGTTTTTTCCAAGGTTTTGGTTTTAATTGGGTTGGAAGTTATTAATTCAACCAATATTTAGCCAAAATAATTTGGCAGTGTTTTTACCCAATTTCTATTTTTATTAGGGCAAACAAATACTAATCAGTCACATTAAACAAAATATTGAAGTATAATCACCACTTTAAAAAATCCAAAGAAAGTCCATCCATCCATCCATCCTCCTCCGCTTATCCGGGGTCGGGTCGCGGGGGCAGCAGCCTAAGAAGGGAGGCCCAGACTTCCCTCTCCCCAGACACTTCTTCTAGCCCCTCAGGAGGAACCCCAAGGCGTTCCCAGGCCAGCAGAGAAACATAGTCTCTCCAACGTGTCCTGGGTCTTCCCAGGGGCCTCCTCCCGGTGGGACGTGCCCGGGGGCCAGGAGGCATCCTAACCAGATGTCCGAGCCACCTCAACTGGCTCCTCTCGATGTGGAGGAGCAGCGGCTCTAATCCGAGTCCCTCCCGGATGACCAAGCTTCTCACCCTATCTCTAAGGGAGAGCCCAGCCACCCTTCGGAGGAAACCCATTTCGGCCGCTTGCATCCGCAATCTCGTTCTTTCGGTCATGACCCAGAGTTCCTGACCATAGATGTGGGTAGGAATGTAGATCGACGGGTAAATCGAGAGCTTCGCTTTTTGACTCAGCTCTCTCTTCACCACGACGTACAGGTACAGCGCCCGTTTCACGGCAGACGCTGCGCCAATCCGCCTGTCGATCTCCCGCTCCTTTCTTTCCTCATTCGTGAACAAGATCCTGAGATACTTAAACTCCTCCACTTGGGGCAGGACACCCCCCCTGACCCGGAGAAGGCACTCTACCCTTTTCCGGCTCAAGACCATGGCCTCGGATTTGGAGGCACTGATTTCCATCCCGGCCGCTTCACACTCTGCAAACCGATCCAGCGAGAGCTGCAGATCACAACCTGATGAAGCCAATAGGACCACATCATCT